GCAGGACAAGTGGATGGCTCCTGTAACCCAGAAGGGGAGCAAAATGCCAAAGTGGAGGGTGCTAGATTTGGAAAGATAGGAAAACGCCTCCGATAAGAACGCTGATTCAAAGGGATATGTGGTGTCCCCCAACTACAAAGGCAAGAACGCAATGACAAGGACCCGATGGAAGCGTCATATGCGAAACAAAAAGGCTGCCAGAGAAGCATCGACTTCGTAGCTGCGACCTTTCGGGAATCTCGGGTCGAAGAGTCAACCCCCCAAAACCAGATGGGTTAAAAAAGAGAAGGTAGTGGCAAGCCAGACCACCGCAGTGACCATGGAAGTCTCTAGAGAAAAGGCAGTGGTGTCGACCCAGAATTCGACGTTTACCGCTGGAACAGAGAGCAGGAAAGAGGCAGAATACACCCTTCAGTCAGACGAAGATGAACCCGAGTATACACCTCAGTCAGATGAGGAATACACCCCATCTCCATAAGAGGACCTGGATGTGGACATGTACGACGAGACGAATGACGACACCTATGGTGAAGACTTCGTGGTAAGTTGCATAATTGTGTCAATACTATCGGCAGAGTATGATAGGGTATCTGAAGTCTCGGAGTCAGAGGAAAATTTTGTGCCAGATGAAGCTGCAGAAGATAAGCCACTATTTTATTATGTGATGAACAGTGGTGTGGTAGAAGAGCGAACTGCCATGTTCGAAAGGCCCAGCCCAGGAATGATGTATCACTTGAAACCGTTGTTCATAAAGGCAAAGGTCGACGACGTGGCAATGAATAAAGTATTAGTGGATGGTAGGGCAACAGTCAATTTAATGCCCCACACTTTATTTAAGAGGATCAGCAAGACTGAGGCTGACCTCAAGCAACACAATATGGTTTTGTCCAATTACGAGGGCAAAACCAGCAATATTCTAGGAGTGGTTGTCGTACCTCGAAAAATACGATCCTCGCGATGGCCGCGGAAAAATACTATTCGAAACAGAGTCGCCACCGAACTTTATTCATTCCAAGGATGGAATAGGAAAATATCGATAAAACCTTTAAAGAGATAAAAACATGGTCATCACAACCAATATTCTAGGTTCGGGAGTCAGTTACGCAGAGGGAAGGTATTAGCACCCTCTACGTCCGTTGTACTCAACGGGAACCTCTTGATCGATTCGAGAGTAAAGTTAACTACGCTTATTTGTTTTCTTCTAAGGTTTCTCCTATGGGGGGAATGGATGGTTATAGGATAGGGTGCTCGCCAAGGATTGGGGCCCTTGTGCCTACGTATCTTCACTTGTAGGAAGTGGAAAATCAGAGCATTCGTAGTTCGGGGGACTACGGGAAAAAGAGGGGATTGTGCTCGCCAAGATCATCGCAATCTTGTGCCTACGTATCTTACATTCAAGAGGGAATGAAGAATCAGAGCAGTCGTAGTTTGGCTAGAGGTAAAAAGGTTTGGTATGTGAACGAGTGTTTAGGTCGCATTCTAACTGCTAAACGTTGGCTTGTCTGCTCGCTAGGGGAGGCTGAAGCACTAGTTTGTTATGCGCGGAAGAAGGGACTAAACAATGTTCTTTGAGAAGAGTTGTTTTGGTTGGAAGTCGCACGAGGGTGAGGAATTTGGTTTATCGTATTGGATGTTTTGGTTAGAGGATATATTTGAATAGGTTTAAGGTTTCGATTGCACGGGGGCAAGAAGTATGAGTTTAGTTAGGTTATTTGATGGGAGAATGACGACTACTCGATAAACGAGACGTCAGTCTCGCAACCAATTAATCGGGGAATTACTAGAATGCTGGATTCCAATGACACCTTTTTCATTCGAAAGGTTCTACAAAATGTGTTTGAGAAGTTTCGGTTTGTTGAGAATTTTGTTTTGGAAAAGAAGATGGATTTGACTAGGTTTTAGAGTTATGGTCGCACGGGGGCGAGAAAGAGATTTGATGTGGTTGAATATTTTAAGGGAGAATGACGACTACTCGATAAACGAGACGTCAGTCTCGTAATCAAATCAATCGGGATATCGTTGGAACACTAGATCCCAACGATACCTTTTTCATTCGAAATATGTTTGATGGATAGTTTAGACGCGAAACAGTTTGAATTGAAAGAGATTTTGATTCAATCACACGAGGGTGAGAAACGAGGTTAGATGGGTTGAGAACTTTAGGAGGAATGACGACCAATCGATAAACAAGACGTCGGCCTCGCAATCAATTAATCGGGATATTACCGGAATGCTAGATTCCAACGATACCTTTTTCATTCAATTAATTATAAAATATATTTGTTGGACAATGAAAGTATTTGTCCAAATAATTAAGAAGTGTTTTAGAAACGAAAGTTCGAATGATATACTATTCAAAGTGTACACCTTGATAGTAATTATTCTCGAATTCAAGGAATGCGCGACTCCAAAAACTCGATACTTTCGTAATTTTAATTATGAAAATAATTTGAAAATAATTAACGTAGGGGTTAAAACTAAAGTTGACATATTGCTTGAATTAGGGTTTCCGAATTTTGAGAGGTTTAACAACGAGATTGGATATTTTAAGGATGAAAGACGAAGTGACCACAACCCAAGGTGTGCACCTCGAGAGCGATCACTTAAGGATCCAAGGAGTGCTAGACTCCAAGGACCCACCACTTTCATATAAATTAAAAAAGGATTTTTACTTATCTAATTTAAACATAAATAAAGTATTTTGAATTTAATAGAAAAATAAATAAACTTGATAAAATAAAAATATGAGTACAGTTAAATTACAAGGCAAATGTTAATTATTATAATAAAACTAATAATATTGTTAATAATATTAATAGTAATAATATCACCTATAATATCATTAATAATATCACTAATAATATTTTTAATAATTAGTTTCTAAAACAGCTCCCTTAAATCCTACTAATTACTATTATAATTATTAACGTCATATGTGATGATGGGTAATAGGCTAATGGGTTTCCAAAATTCTCATTAAAAAAAAATAAAGGAAAAAAAAAACTAATTTAAATAAAAACGAATACACTAACTCCCTCCCTCCGAAGCTCCTGCGCCTCACTCTCCCTCACCGTGTTTCCTCGTCCCCTCTCTGTCTACTCCTTCTCAGCTTAAACAAAATGGCCAGAGAAATGCAACGGCCGGCGGTGACGCTACCCAAAATAGAAGACCTTAAACCCTAACCCCCTTCTCTCTACTCGCAAACCAAGCTTCTCTTCTAAACCCTCAACAAAACTCCACCCCCTCTCTCTCGAACACAAGACACACAAACTCGTACGTCAACAAAAACCATCGCAAATCCAAAACGAGTAAACAAACATCAAGTAAAACAACCAGAGAATACAAATGGATTTCAATGACTACGGGTTCCCGTAACGAAGATTTAAAAATTTCGTCGTTTACCTCAGGTGCGTATTTCCTCGTCTGGTTATCTTTTATGTTGACTCGTGAACTCCTCTTCGATTTCGCCCTTCTCCTTCCCTTGAGGTTTACCGAGTTCGTCTTCTTTCTCTGAATAGTTCTGTTTTGAGACTTATGGGAAATAGGTCTAGCTCAGGGCAAACTCAGGTTCGGATATTGAACCTCAGCAACCCTTAAAATTTCCTTGAGCTTTTGAATAATAGGTGAGGATTGATTTTAACAGAGTTTGGCTAGGGTTTTTTCGTGTGTGTTCTTGCCAATGAATAGGACCATATTTATAGGAGGGTTTTTAGGGTTTTTGATACGTGTGAGAATTTGAATTTGCCGAAGGGAGTGCTTGATCCGTGTGAGGTAGGACAATGAGGAACATTTGTGTAGTACGATTCTGTTAGGAAGCAATACCATGATTTCTGCTTTTCTGAGACTTGATAGTGACCTCTGCATTTGTCTGTAGTGAATTAAAAAAAATTGCTTTTTACCCTATTTTTTACTGTGTGAAAATGTTTCTTTTACTGCTTATCAATTTGCTGATGTGGGACTCTTTTTTGACTCAATGCTTTTTGTTCTTGCTGCCACATCAGGCTTAACTTCATCAAACTTATCAGCTCAATCCAACACTTGTATTCGGTATCGACAGAACCCATAAACTGGAAACAACATCAGCTCAGACTCTGTAAGCTTAACTTTAATAGCCTTTTTTACAATTGAGTTGGTGTTCTTTGTGTAAGAATAAATGATTTGAATGCTTATGCTATTCCTTGCTTCAACTTGTTTTCATATGCATTGGTTTGAGCCATTTTGAATTGGTGAAGATTTATATGATGAAAGACGCTATGGCTACTTGTAAGAACCGTGTAATTAATTCGTTTCTCTCCTCTTTTTTACTTTGGGAATGTTTTGGTTGTATGTAACGCAACTTCGTAGACCATGTCATGTTATTCTTTGGTAGCAGATCCATGACTTGTGTTTATGTTGTGTCGTAAATGTATCCTGTTGTTTTATAACTTATAGCTTCTGCACCGTGTAGGACAGTGAATTGTCGTGGTTTTCATTGCAGCCTGTTGTCTTGAGAGCGGAGTGTAAACATGAAGCTGCTGCTGCTAATTAAAATGTGACTGAAGCTGCTGAAGAAGTAATTGGTTTGAATGCTGTTGTTGGTCTTGTTTGGCAACTTCGAGATACTTCTTTTTAGGTTCACTAAATGTTACCCTCAAGATTGCAAGTGATTTTGTGTCTGCATTCTTTTGGTATGTCATCAGTATTTTCTGAACAATAAGCCAATGCTTTAAGAAGATCAACAAAAGCCGATTCATCTAACATAAACTGCACTTTGTTTTTCTTCAGTAGCAGGTTCATTATTGTATTACATGCCAAGAAGACACAGCCATCATCCTCAACCAAATAAACATTTGACCAAATTAATTTACTAAAGCAGTCTAAAACAGCCTTAAGTTTTCCACACGAAGCGAGAGCTTTGCATCCTTCAACCTTCATAGTAATTTGACACAACATAGGTAGCAGAAAGCACACAGAGTGGAAGGGCCTTTGTTCATCTGCGCCTTCGATTGAAAGCATATACCCTAAAAGCTCGTATTTTGTAACCTCCGTAAACAGTCTTTTCTTAAAGGTGAGTCTGCAAACATAGCTTTTATGAAATCTTCCACATCTGTTATAGTAAAGCCACAACTGAGCAATTCTTTATTCTCCCAAGATGCTGTAATGGATTTTAAAGGCATATCTAATAATTCTGATAGTTTGCGGATTTTACGTAAAGACGGAATAAGATCTTCAAGAAACTCTGCAGAGAACTCATGCAAATTCGGATCACCCGTGGCCAAGGACTCAAATAACGATGATAAGCTTTCCAGCATTAAATGGATTAGTCTTTGTAGCTGTAAAGTCTCATCTGCAGCTATGTCATCTAGGAGAAGTATATCTCTTGAAATTCTAGAGAAAACTGATTCTAATACTGCACACATGCTTTTCTTGTAAGTTGAAGGCAGCAAAAATGGTTCCCATATGATATGAACTTTTTCCAGAATGAGAACAACCTGGTCAATGCTGAATTTAGCCGACTCAAATTGTTGCATTTGATGAGTATTCTGAAATCCATCAGCACTTTCTATAGCCTCCTTCAAGTTATAAATAACAAGGTGAACTTGTCTCTACAATATTTCTTCTGCCAAAAGCTGAAATCTTGGAGCCAAATCAGCAAATACAACATGCTCCTTCATCGAACTAGGAAAATCTGCTCGATACTCAAATGCAAATCCAAGTATCTCCTGGGAAAGATAAAGGAAGTCATTATGCATCAGAACAACAACTTGATTGAAGCTGCCAAGCTGCCTCTCTAGCTTGACAGGGACTACCACTTCATAAAGAAGTATAGCATCTCTAGCGGCATTATAAAACTCCAAAGCAACTTTTGTAGATGACAGGCAGACATCCTGCAGGGCCTGATGAATTAGTTCCATCAATTGTTTGGTTGCTTTGGACACCAAACACCTCTCTGATGAGAAAAGCAAATCAACCACATGTCTGGATGTGCCGCTGTACTGGATTGTCGGTCTTAACCAAAACTTTACGGTGTTTTTGCACTTTCTGTTGCTAATATGACTGGTTCTGTATACTGCGAATTCAGTTGTGGTATGTTTCAACGCTCTGGTGCCTAATTTCATTGTTGGAAATTCGGTAATTGCCGGTGTCATTCCCAAAACTCTTTACCTCAACGATTCTCTTGATCTAAACAACTCTGGTGATTTTTCTATGGGCTCATGATTGTTATCTTTCTTGTAACAGGTGCGGTTACAGCCAGATGATCAGCACCTTGTATGTTCATTTTTTCTCAGATAAAGCTTCTGCCAAAGTTGATGTTAGAAACATTGGTAATAACCCGATTCACCAAGTTTACTAGTTCAGAAGTCACTTCTGGGCTTCTTAACAAAGTTACATGAGCTGCGGTGTTGTCGACACAGGGCAGAATGTCATCTAAAGCTGTATTTGCAGTAGGGTATTGGATGGTAATTGGCCAGCAGGGAATTGATTGTTAGAAGTTTTCCAACTAACTATTATTGACAGTTGGGGCAGTTTGCATAGAGTTTGGATGGCATGATGCTTTGGATAGGGCTGGCAGTTAGAACGTGTCCTAATTAAAGGATTGTTAAAGGCTGGCTCATGGGGTATGAACGTGTCTAGGCATGCTCTATAAAATGAGGGTGTGAATTGAATTAGGTCAATGTTTGCTTTAGGTGTGTGACGTGGTATGCATTGCTTAGAATTATGTGTGTATGATGCAATGTTGATTGACTTGGCTATGCGTGAAAGCTTGTATGTGCTTATATATGTGCAATGAACTTTGTCTTGGTGTGTGGTCTGCTATATATGTGTAATGAACTGATATGATAGCATGCATAATGAGTCTTGGGGATTAGACTATATGTATGTGTATGTATGAATTGTCATAACTTGGTTAGTTGGCATGTATGCATAGCATGGTATATTTTAGATGCATGTGTGTGCTGACAGTGTGAATTGTCCAAACTGATATGACAGTACATGTGCAATTAAATTTCTCCTTGCAATTAAGTTTCTCCTTTTATTTATTTCAACACCCCAGAATGACTTCAAATGGTGGGTCACAGAATTTTCGCACTGCTGATAGTGGAGCTTTTGTTTCTGTTAGAGGTTTCAAAAAAGAAAATACCTTCAAAATGAAAACTAATCCCGCATGACAATATTGTACTTTGAATGATCTATTTCCAAGTAGAGTCAAGTGTAAATGAATCCAAACTCTAATAGTAATACTTCTCTCCTAATCGCGGCTACGTCATCTGTTCTCCATATAACCCCTTTCATTTCTCTTAAAACATATCTCCACCAAAATTCAACATAACTTGCTAGGGAACACAATGGACATACACAAGGCTTTCATAGACGAAATCTTAGAGAGTCATGGCCAGAAGTCGTGAAGCGGTAAAACATTCATTAAATACCGAAGTAGGACAAATTTGGGGTATGACAGTGGTCCAAGTAGACTTGGCAGTCAGAACCTCCACTAGGTCGACACTCTTCATGGTCATAAATTCAAAAGTGAATTTCAACCTCCTATTGGGACGGGAATGGATCCATGGAATTGGGGCGGTACCTTCGACGCTGCACCAAAGACCGACTATTTGGAGGAAAGACGGTGTCGTTGAGAATGTCGAAGCTGACTAAAGTTATTATAGGATTGAGGAAGCCAAGGGAACGAAAAGGTCTTTCGACCAACACCTGACGAACGTAGCACCATGTGACGACGAGTTGGGATCTTACACCTCCATTAATACCAGTCGTATCTTAAATTTGGACCCAGATTATGGTTTCGTTTGGGACTCATCTGATACCCCAGCAGAGTCATCGCGGAGTTGCCCACCCACGGGGTGGCCCCCCATAGACGAAGATGGATGCTGAGTCAGAAAGTCTAAGTCGAATTTCAGCTTATTTGACTGAAAACAAAAGAAAAGCGGTACTCGAAAAGGACAAATATGGAGATACCGCCAGTAATACATATACAAATCACCGACAAGGCCAGACAACAACTTCAAAAAGTCGGAGGCTCGACTGCATCTATAATGACGAGCCTTTGGAGTTCGAAAGAAACCTAAACTACAACATGTAAAAAATACAGACACAAGATTCACTCGAAGAGATCGATCTAGAGGAAGGGACCACAAGGAGACCTACATACGTGAGTACGAAGATTGGCTCAAGGATGAAAGCCAAGATGATCGAGATATTGAAAGAGTACAAAGACTGTTGCACCTGGGATTACATCGAAATGTCAGGGCTAAGTTGGGAGGTTGGGAACACCGCTTGCCCATCCAACCAGGGAGAAAACCAATTAAGCAACGGCCACATAGATTTTCCCCAAAAGTTACACTGAAAATCAAGAGGTAAATTGAAAGGTTATTGCAGAGTCGCTTCATCTGCATAGCCAGATATGTTGAGTGGTTGGCGAACATAGTTCCAGTTGTCAAGAAAAATGGCACTCAAAGAGTTTACATCAACTTCAGAGACTTAAATAGCGCCACCATAAGGACGAGTATTCCATGCCCGTGGCGGAGATGTTGGTTGTTTCAGCCGCTGGTTTCGAGTACCTGAGCATGCTGGATAGATATTCTGGATATAACCAGATCTTCATAGCTAAAGAAGATGTTCCTAAAACGGAATTTCGGTGTCCAGGGACATTGGGAACTTATGAATGGGTAGTCATGCCATTCGGTTTCAAGAACGCTGGAGCGACATATCAAAGGGTTATGAATGCTATTTTTCATGATTTCATTGAACATTTCATGCAGGTATATATTGACGACATAGTCATAAAATCATCGTCAGAGGTCGGCCATTTAGACCACCTTCGACGCTCATTCGAAAGGATGAGAAAATATGGATTAAAAATGAATCCCCTAAAGTGTGCTTTTTGTGTACATGCAGGGGATTTCTTGGGTTTTGTGGTTCATAAGAAGGGCATCAAAATAAATCAGAACAAAACGAAGGCAATTCTGGACCTCAAACCCCCTGTGACGAAAAAGCAACTCCAGTCCATGCTAGGGAAGGTTAACTTCTTGCAAAGATTCATATCAAATCTAAGTGGTAAGATGAAAGCGTTCTCGCCACTGTTGAATGTCAAAAAGGAAAGCGAGTTATGTTGGGGACAGGAGCAACAAGAGGCTTTCAACACCATTAAAGAATATCTCATAAAGCTTCTAGTTTTGTTGCCAGCAAGTCCAAATAAAAACATGAAGTTATACATCGCAGCATCCGACACAACTATAGGAAGCATGTTGGCTCAGGAGGAAGATAATGGTGTTAAAAGACCCATTTATTACCTTAGTTGAATGTTAGTTGATGCTGAAACTAGGTATTCCATGATTGAGAAGTTATGCATGTGTCTGTATTTTTTGTGTACTAAATTAGAAAAATATATTAAACTAGTCGAAGTTCACGTTTCATCGCATTTTGATGTTATCAAATATATGTTGTCAAAACCTATTTTATACAGTCGAGTGGGAAAATGGGCCTTGGCGCTAACTGAGTTCTCCCTTACCTATGTCCCTCTAAGGGCCATGAAGGGACAGATAGTAGTGGACTTCATGGTTGACCATGCAATGGTCAAACAACCGCTTTGCGCGGTTAGCACGAACGCTTAGAAGCTATACTTTGACGGGTCAAGTCATAAAAATGGAGCCAGAATAGGCATCCTAATTATTTCCCCTCAGGGTCATTCAACCAAGTTTAAGTGTAGGGTCGAAGACAAATACTCCAATAACGAGGCAGAATACGAAGCCTTGATCGCTGGTCTGAGAATTCTCAAAAGACTAGACCCAAACAACGTTGAAATTAAGAGCGAATCTGAACTGGTAATAAGACAACTCACCAAAGAATATAAATGCGTCAAGGAACATCTGGTGATGTACCTCACAATGGCGAAAAGGTTGTTGGAACACTTTGAGGTGGTCAATATTGCGCACGTTCCCAGGGTAGACAACCAAGAAGCCAACGAGCTGGCACAAATTGCCTCTGGGTATAAAGCCTCAGTAGACAGGTTGAAAGAATTCATCAAATTCAAAGAGAAAGTAATATCCAAATTTTTTGGCGGACAGGAAGATGGAGAAATGAGTAAACTAACAAAAATAGGGAGCAACAATTGGATAAATGGTGCAGTCTGTATGGTGGACAACTTATCTCTGACGGATTGGCGAAGGCCAATGGTCGAGTATCTAAAAGAACCAACAACGACTACCGATAGGAAGATCAAATATCAAGCATTGAGTTACGTTTTAATGGGGAACAAGCTGTTCAAGAAAACACCAGAAGGAGTGTTGCTTAAGTGTCTGGGAGAAGCAGACGCATACTTGGAAATATTAGAGGTGCATGGTGGGGCATGCGGAGCCCATCAAGCTGGACAAAAAATGAAGTGGGTATTGTTCCGACAAGGAGTCTACTGGCCAAGGATGCTCAAAGACTGCATAGATTTCGCGAAAAGTCGCCAAGAGTGTCAAAAGCACGCTGGCTTACAACGGGTGCCAGCTGAAGAACTACACGATGTAGT